AGCCATCTGATTGGCCAGAAAAGTCACATGCCGTAATTAAAATTTGTGTTCAGTATATACATATAATACTAAAGCTGAGGCTCCCAGACCCGAATGGCATTCGGGATCCAAATTTCCAAATGGCATTCGGGAGCTCCCAGATGCCATTCGGGTCTGGGAGATTCACCTTTAGTATTAAAACTTGTATATAGTTGTATGTGTTATTCGCAACGAATATTCGTAAACTCATCGGAAACTAACGAAATTCGGATTTCGTCCGAATCTGAAACCCGAACCGAATTGAATTCCGAATCCGATTCCAGAAATAATAAAATATCCGAACCAAATCAAATTTTTCTGCAGCTTACATGTCTATCAAAGGTTCTTCAGTGGCTGTGTCATGAAATAAGATCCAAGTCTATAACTTGTGGAATTCTTTTTTTGCAACTGCCTGAGAAGCTACTTTGCTCCCCCCTCCCAAAAAAACTGCAGTCATCCCTGTTAAAATACAAATGTTTAGTTAGGGTTTATCATCAGTCCAAATAGAAGACTTACACCCAGAGAATAAATATGATATAACTTTATCTCCTGCCAGGGTCAGATCCCACCTGCTGCAATCGTCTCTACAAATGCCATGGCTTTGCGTTCGCGGTATAATCATTTCTTATCTCATAAGGTTACGCAGGAGATTCAGCTTGATGACTTTGCCAGTATTAATCCCCCCCACCCCCGAATTTCATTTCATCTGTTTATTCTGCTCTGCTGGAATTTTCTTTTATGGTTTTATATCAAAGTAATTGGGTTTCACAATTACAGTTTCAAGTGATAGATACAGAGATATGAAATGTACCTTACACTCATTACCCTGAGTTCATATACCAACAAGATAAAGGAAGATGAAAATATTTGTTTTGTAAAGGAAATGTCTGGGGCATAAATTATTCACTTTCAAAAGTCAGACTCAATAAAATCTGTAATTCTATTCAGCCAGAAATGGGACCCAGGGAGCCCCAACAGACCTCATTGGCCTCCATTGACGTTAAGCAGTACAGCTCAGTAAAGGACTTCCCCCTTTCCCAACCTGTTGACTGGACAATTAAGCAGCAGGCTGATGAGGACCTCCCTGTGCTCTCCTTTCCTGTGTGCAAGTATAATGCTATACTGAACAGGGGTGTAACTATGCATGATGGGGGCCCATTTCAAAACTACTTAGAGGCCCGTTGCCCTCTACCCTTCATCCTCAAGGCAATCCTTCTTGCAATACAAAATCCTATTTGCTTTCTCAGCAATCTTATAGAGGTTCTCCAACTCGAGGTACATTAAGTTCATCCAAATGTATTACCCGCAGTACTCCTAGGCTTTACAGCAGTTGCATGGTTTCCTATGACTATAGCTACAAACCAGGTACCCAACAGAAACCAGCACTGAGTGGTTCCTACTGCTGCTCCTTCCTCTCCCAATAGCCCAGATAGCACTGCAATTGGAAGCATTGTTGTCTTCTTCATTGGGCTGCTTATGACCAGCCTCACTCTGACTGGTAAGATCTTATTCCCATCCGATATCCCAGATATTGGAAGTCAGGTGTGTGCAGCTATCCTGATTTGTCAATATGACTTTTTTTCTCAACCGATTATCATTGACCTGATCAGGTGATAGTAATCATCCTCCTGTGGATAGCCGATGAAAATGAGAGGGGGATTGCTGGAGATAATCAGGAGTGAATACATTCCATTCCTCCCACCGAACTATAGCAGGAGAGGTTCTGTTCTTTAAAGGAAATAATCCTATAATCTGGAGATTGGGGGTGACACTAGGCAGGGGCTGCATTCCCCCAGGAATTCCCTGTATCTGGGTGAATGGTCAAAAGTTTTTTTTAGGTTTTTAGAAAGGGTTAGCAATAAAATAAAGGCAGCAATAAAAACTCAACAAGTTCTAACCCTTCCCCAAGCTATCCAAAACTTCAAAAAGGTTTTGCCTAGAGATCTAACTCCAACTCCTGCTGCGATGCTCACCCTATCTCAAGCTGTGCCCCCCTGCAGATTTACTATTCTGCGATCCAGTGCTGCTCCTATTCTTGGTTGATTAAAGTTGTATTAAACTCTCAAACTCTCTCCAGCTACAGACCATCATTATCAGCTCCCATCTAAGACTTTAGAACAACACCAATGGCCTATAATAATTATAAAATTTGTCTAACTCGTTGCATCATATCATATATGCAGACTCCGGCTGAGACATATCAACTATATGTGGAAAAGTGGTGTAAGAACTCCTTCTCCAGTATCATCTCTAGAAATAATTCTCACAGAGGGGGCTATATTGTTCAAGGTCGAAGGGTTTCGGGGGCTGGTAAGTCAGGTGCAGACTCAGAGGAGGGATTTTAGAAGTTGATGGGTCAGGTGCAAAATAGAGATGATAGGAATTGGTGGGTCAGGTGTGGAGGTGGGATTATAGGGGTTAATGGATCATTTTTGGAGGAAGGATGATAGCATTTGGTTGGGCAGAGCAGAGGTCTAAGGAGTTGATGTGTCAGGTGTAGAGGAGGGGTTATTGACATTGGTGGGTCAGATGTGGAGGAGGGGTTATGGAAGTTGGTGTGTCAGATTTTGGAGGAGGAGATATATGAGTTGGTGCATCATGTGCAGAGGAAGGAATATAAGAGTTGCTGGGTCAGGTGCAGAAAATGGTTTATAGGAGTTGGTGGGTCAGGTGCAAATGACAGATTGCAGGAGTTGTTGGGAAAAAGTGAAGGAGGGATTATAGGAGTTGCTGGGTCAGGTGTTGAAGGAGAGATTTTAGGAGTTGCTGGGTCAGGGGTGCAGTGGGGAGATATTATAGTAGTTGATGAATCAGGTGGAGAGGAAGGGTTGTAGGAGTTGGTGGGTCAGGTGTGGAGAAGAGATAATAGGAGTTGTTGGATCATTTGCAGAGGAACGGTTCTAGAAATTGGTGGGTCAGGTGCAGAGGATGGGTTATAGAAACTTGTGGGTCAGGTTCAAACGAGGGGGTTATATAAGTTGGTGGGTCAGGTCCAAAGGAGGGGTTATAGAAGTTGGTGGATCAGTTGTTGGAGGGGGGGATATACAAGTTGGAGAATGTGCAAAGGAGGGGGTCACAGGAGTTGGTTGGACAAGTGGAAGAGAGAGTATAGAAGTTTGTGAGTCAGGTGCAGTGGACAGATAACAGGAGTTACTGGGACAGAAGTGGAGGAAGGATTATCGGATCTGGTTGGGTCAGGTGCAGAGGAGTGGTTATAGAGTTTGGCGGGTCAGGTGTGAAGGAGCCCGTATTGAAGTTGGTGGGTCAGGTGCAGAGGAAGGGTTTTGAGGGTTAAGAGGTCAGGTGCGGAGGAAGGATTATAGGAGTTGACAGGTCAGGTGTGAAGGAGCTGTTATAGAAGTTGGAGGGTCAGGTTTGGAGGAGGATTTATAGAAGTTAGCAGGTCAGATCGGAGTTGTGGGAGTTGGTGGGTCAGGTGTGGAGGAGGCGTTATAGACGTTTGTGGATCATGTGCTGATGCGGGGTTACAGGAGTTGGTGGGTCAGATGAAGGAAAGGGGTCATAGGAGTTGGTGGGTCAGATGCTGAGAAGGGGTATAAGTGTTGGTGGCTCAGATGTAGTAAAGTGGTTATAGGAGCTGAGGGGCCAGGTGTTGAGGAGGGGTTATAGAAGTTGGTGGGTAGGGTGCGGAGGCAGCATTATAAGAGTTGGCAGGTTTGGAGTTGGAGTGGGACAGGTGAGGAGAAGGGATTATAGCAGTTATTGGGTCAGGAACAGAGAAGAGGTTATAGTAGTTGGTGGGTCAGATGCAGAGGAGAGAGTAGTTGGTTCAGTGGAGTTGGAGTGTGATAAAAGATTAAGTATATAACTAAAGGCAAAACTTTTCCTTGAGATTTGGATGGAAAGGTCATGAGGTAGAACCCCAGTCAATATTTTATTGCTGTTTGTGCCTCATTAGGGAGACTGCTCATCCTTGTCCTGATGAGCAGTGTCACTGAGAATGATAAATGACAGTAAATTCAATAGTTTGAGTGGCCACCAGAACTGGATTAAAGGGGAAATCTTTCTATTGAGACACAGATGACAACAACAAAAAAATCTGACAATGGCCTTAACCCCTTCCCTACTCTATCCAAAATGAAAAAAAACAATTAGATGTACTCTCCATATAAGCCTGGGGCAGAGGGTACCAAATTAAGGGAAAGCAGCCCTGTTTAATGTCTTGCATCGATGTCTAATCTGTGGTCCTTTCCCAAATGAGTAACAGCAAGCCACAAAGCACAAACGTTGTACAAAAGCTCGGATCATGTGTTCCCACCTTAGCCCATTAAATAATATCCCAAAGGTTACATTGTACATATATTTTGAATGAAATTCTGCATATAAGTAAATTATACTTCTGCGTTCTCTACGTATCCGTGGCACCTTCTTGTTTGGGATCTGAGGAATACAGGCTAAAAATATCTATCGGATCCTCATCAGCAAGACTTAAACTGACCACATACATTACATTCTGTTTGTACAAACTCTCTACAACCTCCATTAGACCTATTCAAACAATGTAACAGGAGCCCTGCCTTAAAATCTATTCTATTTCCATCCAGTCAGCTATGTGCTCGTAATACATAGTCGTTGGTACATGGAAAGGAGATTGTACAATCAGGTGTATGGCCAGCTTGAAGCAAGAGAAGCAAAAGGACCAGATGCTATTCACTTGCACCTCCCTGTGTCCAGGGGTAGCTGAGTACACATTTGGGGTGTTTCTCATAGGCAAAAAGAAAACTTAGTTCCATTCAAACTAAACAGATCGGTCAGAAGCGGGTCACAGGTACGCAGAGAGGAGAGTCCTAAGACTCATTCAAAGCTCATGCATGCAGTTGACCAGGCGGACTACCCCACCATATAGAAAGAGCCCCAAGATGGCCAAGTCCCGAGATGTGATGTTGATAAAATGTATTCATTATGATGCATACATGCCTATATGATCATTACGTATAGAGTCAGTGCGTGTTATCTCTCACCGAAATGAACATCTCCAGGGTCTTGTTGTCCATGCAGGTGTGGTTTCTCAGCAGCTCCCACTTCTCCTGCTGGAAGTTGATGGTCAGGTCATGCTCAGCCTTGCTCTCCAGGGCCCAGAAGACTGCGGCCCCCAGCAGCAGGTAGCAGAAGTAAAGGATGAGCAAGATGAGGGTGATGGGCACCCGGCAACCCTCGGACTTGGAGCAGCAGGATGGGGCTCCGGAAGACTGGCAGCAGCAAGGTCCAGCCATGGTCAATGACAAGAGCAAGGTCCAGGTATAGTCAGTGACAGCAATGGAGTCCAGCCTCGGTCATGAGAGTGGAGCCCCTCCATGTAAAGTTTGGTGCCATGGTCCATCCGCATTCAGAGATTGCAGAACCTCTCTATGTAATGTCTTCAGTATGAATTCTTCATCTAAACATCCGGAACATTACGGACTCCACACACAGCTGTCTGCAACTTCTCCTGCACACTCCATCTGACAGCAGCTACAAGCATGTGCTGAGCCTGAGAAAAGGGGGTGGGGCCTTCTCTGGGAAGTAGGCGGGGCTGGGTTCTTCTATCTGGTACAGAGGACGATGACTCATTCCCCACAAAGTCTATGTGATGATATTCTTCTGGTACTACAGCCGATACGTAACACTATATACTTATAAGTGGAACAAATAGATGTAAATGTCCTAAATCATTTTCTTCGACTTGTAGAGCGGCAACGTCTACACATTAAAGTGTATCTAAACCGAGGAAGAAAAATGTCATACATTGCAGCTTGCCGGTCCTTAGATGTGGTGGCCGCGTTTGTTTTCATTTTCACAGACTTAGTACATTTTCTGCAAGTGCAGAACGATACTTGTTGATCCTGCCAGAAATCCAGAGTCCTTGTCATTTCCTGTGCACAGAACTCAAATCTCAAACTATGTGATCTTTTCAATCTATCTTCTGTCAACTGCACAACCTACACCCCATGTAATGCAGATGAGTAGAGGAGGGGCGTCCTTTTAATAAGGAAGCCTGAGGCTGTTGCCTTATGCGGCATCTCTTTGGGTTATTTTGGGGGTCATAGCGTTTGCAGTGTGCCTGCTGCCCCCTCTCCTGCCAGAGCATCCCAGGTTCATAAGAGTCGGGCAGGGAGATGTGTAAGGGCCATAAGCATCTCCCCGCCCAGCTCTTAGCAACCTGGGACGCTCTGGCTGGCAGTGATGTCACTGGTTGCCAGAAGCTGGGTGGGACCCCGGCCTGAGTGTCCCAGGTTGCTAAGAGCTTGGCCGGGAGATGCAGAGCCTGCAGAGGGTGGCGTGCATCACTCTACACCAGCATTCCCCCCACCCCACCTGCCTCGGGTGCCAAAAAGTCTAGGGACCTGAGTAGAGGTGTAGTCCAGTTAAGGAGAGCAGCCTAGGGTCACCCTAGGACAGGAAGTGTGTTACTGTCAGGATCCCCAAGGACAATAAAACATTTTGGTGTCATTTTGCATCGGTAGTGCAGCGAGGTGACATGATTGGGTGGAGGGTCGTTATGGCATATACATCGTGGAACATTATGTACATTTGATAAATATTTTTAATAGAGGACTTTGTCATGGTGACGTTTTTCTTTTTTGACTCTTTTTAAAAACATTTTTGGAAATAATAGTAAGTACCATGTACTCATTCTTCCAGGGGGGGGGGTTGAATATCTATGGGGACCCTTTGTTATGAAAGGAACTTCCCTGATTCCTATGATCCCCCCTTGCAAACCACCACATCCCTTATGGGGGGCAGGATATGGGGATGAGGCCCTTGTCTCCTCAACATGGGCACATGGAGCTTTGCTGTTCCACCCGCCCCCCTTACAATGAACCCCCCTAATGTTGATGTTTCTGGTATGGTGGCCTGGTATGATTCAGGAGGGGGTGGTCCTGTCTCTTTCCTGGTCACTGTGGCTGAAGGCCTATTTAAGGGCTTGTTTACACCAAATCCGGACCAGATCTGCATTAGTTTCTGCATATGCAGTGCCTTTTGTCGCAGTTTTGCCGCGTTCCATTTTTTAAAGGGACAGTACACATTTGTTAAAAAATAGAATAAAGTTGAGGACATACAAGGCACGCACACACACAGGACACACACACATGAGAAGGGGAAGTTCAACCTAATGAAGTGAAACTGCAATTGAAATTCAAAGCCTCATATTTCCCAATTTTTAAGGAAAAGGTCAATTCTTAAAGTAAGACTTCTTCCAGTGTAGAATAAAGTGAGTGGAAGGGGTAGACTCTCTGTTGGGCTTTTATTACTGTCTGTGTCCGGGGAAAATCCCCCCTTATTATTTGTAATGGTGAGAGGGAAATCTGAAATGTTATGATCTGAACAGCAGTAGAAGGGTCACCTTCCAACGGACAGAACTGTTCTGGAGACAAATGAACCTCCCACACTGAAATACAACAGCATTCAGATCCCGGAAATCCAGAAGCTCCTGAGAATGAATCTCCAAGGAATGCTTGATCATTATTTGTATTTCTAAAAAGAATGTTTCCAGTTCCTGCTGGAATTGTATCCCTCTTATTTATAAACAATTCAGAGAACCAATCGCCCTGCGAATCTCTGCGAACGTTCAGGAAAAAACAGACGTTCTTAGTATATTTTCTTTTTAGGTCATATGTAATGGAATGTAATACCACATTATGGCCACTAGAAGGAGCTGATGAGGATAGGAAAGAAATAGTTCCTTCCCTATGCTTCTTAGTGCCATCTAGTGGCCATAAGGTGATATTACATTACATTCCATTGGACCTAAAAAGAAAATATACTAAGAATGTTTGTTCTTGTCTCTATTTTGCAAAGATTCGCAAAGAATGGCTCTGCAGATTGCTTATTAATAGACCCCTACAGCTCCCTCCCTGCGTCTTTCATGGCCTGACTTCCCCTCTTCCTGGAACACTCATTGTAGTGTCCCAGTCCCATAAAGCCTGGACTGCGAGCTGCTCTCAGACTTCAGGATATACAATGTATCACTTTGTAACATCATCTGAATATTTGTGTCATCACAGCATTCACCAGCCTGGCCTGTACTGAGGACGATGACGTATAATGACGACACATATTGCTTCCGCTGGCTCTGGTCCGTGTTCTGCTGAGTCATCGCCATCTTTGCGTGACGTTACATCACGGCTGGACATGTATGACTGTAGATACAGAAACTCTTTTGAGTTGTATTTGTTCTCAGTCTTTGATCCCTTCATCTTCTTTGGTTGTCTTGTCACCAGTGTCAATAAGCGATGCAGAGCGAAAAAATCCAATGTTTGCACTGGACGCACCCGCGCTCAAAATGGCGTTTCGAGGCGAGCATTGTATAGCGAAACACCGCACACACCTATCTACTGACCCCTGTACAAACACAGCTCACACAAACCGGTTTGTTCAGCAAGAAGGTGCGAGAAGCAACAAAGATCTGCAAAGAGCCGTAACCCATGGCAGCCAATCACACACAGAGCTATGATACAAACTTTATTTAATACCGTAAACCTTTAGTTCTCAACTGGTGGGTCGTGAACCCATGTTCAGTGGGTCACCGCATGCTTTCCTCAGCCTCCCCCTTTTGCAGCATTGCCAGTTCTCGAGCCAAGCAGCCATTCAACATATGTTGCCCGGTGCCAAGTGTCTGCTTGAGGTGGGATGGGCTGGGGCTATGGTCGTGAGGGAGCTCCATCCATACGTACAACTTCCTCACGTGCCCTGTAGAGGTGCCTGGACTGGAGTGATGTCACATTCTGGCTCTCTGCACCTCTACAGGGCACACAAGGGAGCTGTACAAGAAATGCACATATGGATGGAGCTCCATCATACCACAACAGCCCACACTGGACCCCAGGCTGAGGATCCACTCCAGTTCTCCTAAGGTATGGAGACTGGGTGAATCTTTTGAATGGCACCCCAAATGCACCTCCTACACACAGTTCGATCACCCGCACCGGAACGCACGGTACTGCAATGCTGCGCGTTCCATTGCAGTGCGACTTTGGTCATGACTTAATGACCAAGAACAAATGTGGGTCCTAAGGTTACACAGGTTGAGAACCACTGCCATAGAAGGTACATTATAGACCCCCCTGGGCTGATACTCGCCATGTGACATTGAGCACCATTACATTTACAGCCAGTAGAGGAGATTCTTACAATGTACTCTTCCTAAAGAAGAACTCCAGGCAGAATAAAATGTAATCCTTGCAGTGGGGCTAAACCCCCATACTCCTCAATAACAGACGGCAAACACTTCTTCTGTATGAGAAATAAGAGAAACACAACGAGAATCATGAATTTCATTTCCTGTTAGGAGCCCCCATTTTATTTCTGGGTACAAAGCGGAGCGCTGCAGAAGCGTTCTGATGTCACTGACAGATATTTGAGATGAAGGAACTTTGATTAAACTAATTCATGCGACTTGGCGACTTAATCTGTGATGAGTTATCTACCTACTGATGACCAACTGTTCTATTTCAAGTATAGATGGTGTCTGATGGCCTGAATCACTAGAATATACACCGATCAGGAAGTGGAGCACCTGTGCATGGCAACCAATCAGCTTCTCTCTTTCATTTTCAAATCTTAACTGAACAAATTGAAGGGAGATGCTGATTGGTTGCCATGCACAACTGCTCCAGATTTTGTCTGCTCCAGTTTTGATGAATTCTCCTCTATGTCCACCCACCTAATATCTAGTAGGTTTACCTTTTGCCACCAAAACAGCGCTGGCCCATCAAGTCATGGACTCCACTAGACCTCTGAAGGTGTGCTGTGGTGTCTGGCACCAAGCCATCAGTAGCAGATCCTTTAAGTCCTGTACGTTGTGAGGTGATCGGCCTCCATGGATCGGACTTGTTTTGCCAGCACATCCCACAGATGCTCCATTGGATTGAGATCTGGAGAATTTGGGGGCATCACCTCGAACTCGTCATCACCTCAAACTCGTTGTTTCTCAAACCATTCTTGAACCATGTTTGCAGTGTGGCAGGGCTCATTATCCGGCTGAAAGAGGCCACTGCCATCAGGGAATACCGTTCCCATGAAGAGGTGTACTTGCTCAGCGACAATGTTTAGGTGGGTGGTACATGTCAATGTAACATCCACATGAATGGCAGGGCACAAGGTTTCCCAGCAGAACATTGCTCGAAGCATCGCACTGCAATTCCCTTCACCTCTCAGTGGTCATAATATCTCTTATAGAACTCCAGAAGGGAAGCCTTATGTAGACCTTGAGGTGATCACATTCCCATCACGTTCTTCATAAATAAATATCCAGCAGAGAGAGAGAGAGATCGGGCCCCCTCAGAGTGTCCACGGCTGATCCATAGACCCCCCCCCCCATCATCCACCCAAACCTGAAATAAAGGCTTTGGGTGGGGTGAGCCTCCTAAAGTGAGCTCATCATCATTCTGGAAGTTGGGCTGGGACACGCTTTCTGTGCTTATAGAAGGATAAG